TATTAGTTTTTTTTTTGATTAAATGAGTTATTAAAAAAATTAATAGTATTTATAAATTAAAAAAACGCTTATTATACACATGCTGCATTTTATCGGTATAGAGTCAGCCAGCTGTTTTCTCCTTTTATCCAATTCAATTATAGTCACAAAACATGTGTTTGTCCTTATTTTGTGTTTGAAAAATTTTAAATTTTAGGTATGATATTTTATTACTAGAGCTTTATTATTTTAATATTTTTTAAACACACTTCACGTCAACTAAATGGATTAATAAATATGTTTTTAGAGTTTCTCTTCTGTAAATGTAATCATGTTTAGCCTTTCCTAATCGATATTCATAGATACGTCATAACATGTTGTTTTGGAATTCATTTCATTCGTATTTCAGATACAAACTAGTTTTGATTAAACAATATGAGAATTTTTTACTTAATTTACCTAAGCTAAACTGGTTGACCAAACGTGGTGATTAATGGTCTAATCTTCTCCACGAGAGAAGAGACCGTTGTACATCAGTGGTCACCAATAAACTGATGATGATGAAATTGTTTGTTTCAGTTTTACGAATGTACCATGTCCAGGAAGACTGCTGTTATATAATTCACTTACTATTTTGCGCACTTCAAATAATTTTATGTATACCTACTCTACACCTATTGTAAGCCCCATTTTAGTACTGATACTACTACTATTATATAAAAAATATCACCATCGAAAAAACCTTATTTAAACAAAATATTTGTACACTTATTTAATATCGATTACATAAGAATAAGCAAAAGTTTTTAAATTTGAGCAGCCATTTCTCACTTTACTCTAACCCAAGTGGAGGGTTGGGATCCAAAGAAGATATATGGAACTGCCGCAGTTAGGCCCAGGATTATCCAGTAAACCTCAACGACAAACCTTATCGCCTTGCAAGTTGCTTGCGCATTCGACCTTAGTGGAGGATGTGTAATAATAACAAGTCCTTCTATATAATGTCAAAAATATCCTTTCTACATAAGATCATAGATTGTTTTTATTTTTGAAAAATAAATTCACCAAATGGGATTATCCAAAGTAGTATTTTATTATTTCGTATCGGTTTCCATACCAAGTATTATTCAGAATCTCTCGTAATAAATACAAAAGAATGGAATATACTCGGTATCAAATATTTATTAAGCTGCATTTCTTTCGATCGCTATATACGGATAAAAGACAATACACGAATTCAAACAATAGATCGACTGTTCCGTGGTTATACTTTCTGATTAAAATTAAAACCGCTGGATTCAATTACACATTTACTTTGAGCATTCATTGTATTGTTTCGAAATCCAATCTATAGCAATTTCTCTTATGTTTTTTAATAATTTCTATTTATTTAAAAGAGTAGTATGTACCTTAATTTTACCAGTTTTATTCAAATTAATTAAACTTGCACACAAGAATTATACTTTAATTTACTTAAATAACGTCACTTACTTTTTATTTTTTAATAAAACTAAATTACATTTAAAAAAATAAAGTACTCGTAATTTATCTGAAGAATATTAGTTTCAATTAAATGAATACTCGCGAAAGTCTTAGATCGCATTATAAATTTATACTTCTGATATAAAGTTTAATTATAAATTGACTAGATAAGAAAATAAGTGTCAAGTCATCCATTGACACAAATTCTTCCATACTTAAGTTTTTTTAAAACTTCAGAGGTTGAGTTGAAGTGCGGTCATGACGACAACTTGCATAATAATCGCTTTTAATTTTTACTAACATTTATAAAAAATTTAATGTTGCTTTAAACTGCAAAACCTCTGGATTAAATTCTTGGTACTGAAAATAATGACTACTTAACAGCTTAACAAATACTCGTATTATATAACCTGTTATCGGCATGGTTTAAATAACACGTGATAAAAAATATAAAGACTGAATATTCGAGAACACTATTCATATTTACGAGATATTTCATAATCTTATTTGTTATGTAAAACATATAAAATATTTAATTCTATATACTATTAAGGCATTACTACTCTACATAGAATATTACTCTCACTATAACAATCAATTTATACCACCAGGAAATCTTTAAAATAACATAACTTCATTAACAGTCATAGTTTTCCTCAGTAAACCTTGTCTATAAAGTTTAAAGAGAAAAATACTGCCATATAATAAAACTCAAATGGAAATATTGTGTAAAACCGACACGGCATAATTTGTAAATGTTAGAAAAAATACATAAATAAATATTAAATGTAGCTAAAGATTTCCTTTATTCTTTTCATTATATTTTTATTTCATTACTAACAATTAGAATAATTAAAATTATATGTCAAATACAATTATTCTGAGGGCTATTATTTTAAACTGAAATTGTTCTCATTTTCTAATTATTAGGCAATATGAAATTATTATTCCAAAAATAAAAAAATATTAATTCATTTTCATTGCTATTAGTAGAAAACAAAGAAACTAAAATAACGGTTCCAATCAACCCCTATTACTGTTTGACGTTGAAAGGTCAAAACAAGGTGACTGTCAAATGTAACAAGGTTGAAGGAACAATTTTTGTATACTATTTTTAAGCTTATCGCATGATTTCAAGAAATAAGCTAGACATTTAAAAAAGGCCTTGATATAAATTTTAAGAATACTTCAAAATATAAAATCGTGTAGACGTATTTTATCTTAATTCCGTTTAAAACTTAAGTGGCAATATTTGATTGTTATCTAAAAAAACAAGACGTTTTATTAAAATAGAATATCCACTGGTTTTTAATTAAGTCAATAAGCAGACGCTATACTGCTTTTGAAAGATAATTTGGATTAGCATTTCAAAGCAATGTATACGGTATTAGCATATTGCTAAACTTTTTTCAACGAGACTTATAAATTAGATAGTGTCATGGACGGACTACTTAAAATTCGTAGAACGTACAGAAAGGGAGGAAAATTCACAAAATTTATTTGTAGAATTTAGTTTTCAAATATTCATTACTTTTGGCTTTCATATCATTTAATGTGACATAAATATGCCGCTTTTTATTCTTATCTCATATTATATCTTATTTATGTTATGAAGTAGGTCGAAGGCGGTTAGCAATAAACTTTTATATAGCATGTTAGTGAGTCAGCAACTTGCATATGAAGTAGATGATTCTCGTTACTTTCTCCATAAAAATATTACTGTCCCATTTAGTTACATAACTTTAGCCGTATAAAGATAAACACGTAAGTACCTATAGGTTGTTGAATTTATTATTAAAAATATTAATAAACTAGATTAACATCATTGTGGTATTAAGAATTTCTATAAACAGGAGTTTGTCAATTAAATAGCATATTTGTAATAAAAAGTTTTTTGTCTATTACAGAAAAATTAATATTTCAAAATTATACTCATGGACTGTACATAGTGATAGTCTTCTGATAATTGTTATTCTCAAACATTGATTATGTAAGCAAAAAATTTAATTACTCTTTGTGCCTACATATGTGTAGTATATAATAAAAAAAGAAACTAAATAAAAGTGCCATCCATCCAAAGAAAATATGTGTTTTAAAAGAGATTATACCCAGTAGTTGAAATAAAATTAAAGAATTTTATATTTCAGGAAATCCTAAATAAGAAAACATTTAAATCTTGGCGATTGCCACTGTTCAGACAAAAGGAAAAAATCTTCGAAAAACTACAAATAAATGAAAGTGAATTATGAAATTACTTAGTTTAATGACCGTCACTTTTAGAGTTATTAGCACAAGTTGAATGTCTACATTATTGTAATGAACTATCCTCCATGATTTTTTTGTTAGTAAAAAGTAATAAGCCAACATGATTTTTTTATTAATAAATATATCTACACATATTTTGCTCCGTTTATTCGCTAAACAAAAGTTTAAAGACAAGACATACCATGGACCACAGTCCGTCTAACCTATAATATAAAACAATTCGGGATTATATTTAAAATATATCGCTCCATTTAACCGACAGACAAACAGTTGAAGTAATATAAAAAAGATAATAAAAAGAATACTGATTTCTATCGGGCAAAGTAGAAGTAAGTCAATTTTATTGTTAAGGGTTATAGAAAATAAAAAAATTATAGTATCTTCCATAAACATTTATTAATATAATATATCATTTTCAATATTCCAATATAGTAATAGTACAATTACATATATTCCCTTAGGGGATATAAATAAGAAACAACATATAGATGATTCTACTAGGCTGCAATACCATATACCCCCGTTCGAGAGATACATAGAATATTTAAGATTCGTTTTATTTATTATATTAGAAATATATTTTGACACATTAATAGGTATTTTAAAATACTAAGTTGCCAATCGCAAATAAGTGGCGTTAATTCATACAAAGGCTTATTATAGCGTCTTTCACCAAGTTTCGTTACCGTTAGTCTCTTAAATGACTAGAACATTTATTTTAAAAGTTACGTTAATATTTTTCTATCCATCAATATTTTCTACTTCCTATTGACATAAGTTTACCACCAATTAGCTACTGCTTCTACTTTTAGCTTATTTAACTCTACATACATACATTGCGATAGAATAAGATTGCATGAAGCTTTGGGTTCATGGATGAAATAAAAATTAACGTAAATTTATAGGCCAAGAACCCGCAGCAAGATGCAATTTTAGGTTCTAATTGGCCGGGCTTAATGTCAAAGCGTACTGATTGGGCAATAAGGCTGGGTGATTGCCCAACCATGTAAGCGGACACCCGACACAATCAGACAAAAATCATAGCAAATTGAGAGCAAATAGAAAATAAAGAAAAGAACATCTTAGCCAAACTTTAGCATAAATGGTCCAAAAATATCTCCAAAATAAAGTCTATGTCCCTGTTTTTATAATTAAATTTTCGAAGATATGAAGTAGGTGAATAAGGAGTAAAGCTTTAACGCAACGGGTCCAGTAATAATGCGATGGTCGTTGGGGCGGCGGATGATGGAGCCGCGGGCAATGGGGAGGTAGTTTCAGCCCCACTTCTGGAAGAGCCCCATGCGCTGGCAACGACAATTGGAGCCCCAAAGGTTGCAGCGGCATGATGAAGAATGGCAACAGTCCCCTGGTCGGTGGTCGCAATTGCCGCCACGCCGAATACACGCACGCCTGAAAACGTAGATCAGCGACGATCGTCTGAAACCATATCATCGAATACTAACCTAAGTTTCTGTCCGTGTGACAGGACATTTTAGTTATCATGATTGTTATGAATTATTTATGATATTTAGAGGTGTCGATGATGCCTAAAATCTATTTCATCGTTTATTCCATGTTAATTTGAGTTAAAATTACGCAGTTTATTATTTTTTATCTCCTAATACTATCTAAGCGGTCTTTATTGAACTTACTTGCCAACATCTTGTAAGATTTGTAAATCAGAGGGATCTTCATCGTAGTCGGGGCCATTTATTTCAATGTCGTCGTCTCCTTTAAAAAGAATATATTGTATTACACGCTTTAAGGATTCTATTTTTTCTTTCACGCCATTAAAGTATGTTATTAGGGTAGTTGTAAAAATATATATTTTTAAGTTAAGAATAAAGTTAAAGTTATGATCTTGAATAGAATGAAAGGACCATACTTCGTGTCTGTAACTTGTTTCTGAGGAATTTAGATATTAAATTTACCTGGATCGATATACGAGGCATGAGAGCACTGGTCAGCTAGTAAAAACACTGCTAAAGCCAGCATGATAGCGCTGCCGCGCGCCATGCTGTCTGTCTGCCAACCGCTGCTTGCCTGTAATAACCGTAATACTTAATTTTTTTTTTATTCTTATCTTTTACTTTAATACAAACTGTCATTTATATCTTTAAAAAACATTATACATCAATTATAATAGGGACGGGTAAACATAAGTGTTAATAGTGTGCACTGATTATTATTATTGAAACTCTGTATAATAGCTGGTAATAACTATTGAATGAGGTCTTTTAATTCTGACTTTCCACAAGTAAGCTCCATATTCCATTCGTAATCATTGGAACTTGATTCTAAACTAGCCAATTTTCTCTACAATATTAATCAACATCCAATATTTAATTGAACATAGCTTTTTAAATCCTTAAATATATATATTTTTAAAATTTGCCCTACTAGCCTTATTTCTTTTTGCAAATAAAAGGACTACTCTATTAAAAAATTATTAACATTTTTATTCACTGTCAACTTTTGTAATAAATGTCGACTCCGCTCTACTAACGACAAAGTTTATTCAAAGTTAAGATCAAATACAACTCTTGTTTGTTGTGAAAGTTCCAGACAAGGTCAAGAATGTTATTTCAATATATGAATGTTATTCTTATAACATTGAAATTAATCACTTTATATTTTTGGAATGCATTATAAATTTAAGCCTAATTATTTTGACATAATCTGAGGTGAGGAGGCGACAACTTTTCAACCGATTAAAGAGCCGAAATTCAATTTAGTCAAAAGTTTAGTGAAGAAGAGATTGTTGAAGTTTACTTAACAAAAGTAATTGAATTACATAATAATTGAAGGATTTTGTTTCAGGGATTGTTGTCAGCGCTCAATCCCAGTGAACATTAGAAGTGTAATAAATTATGTTAAAGTTACTTTCAAAACATAATCTGGATATAAATATGTTTTTACCAGTTGGTAATTTTACAATCTTTTTATTATAATAAGCTTGTTAAAGGTCTTGTTATTTATATTAACATATCTATTACACCTGAAAACTCAGATCTTATTATTTTCTAGTAAAGTCTTCTAAGTAAATTTGGAATACAACTATATTTTTTTTTAATAAGGCAAAATGTTTAATAATTTTGATCATACCACCGGCGTGGCGCCAGTTTGTGATAACAAACAACTGAGAATATTCTCAAACTTGGGGGAAATTAGGGAAGGAAACCAATTTACTTGCCTCATTTTATTTTTGCCTGTTTGCTTAATAAAATTAAATAAATCGTATTAAAGTATATGAAAGGTATAAAAATTCATTACACTTTGATATTTATTCCATTTTAATAACTTTTGTTCATTATATATTTACTACCCCTACAATACTTCTTAATAAAACAATCAGGATAACATAATTAAAATCATTTCTAATCTATTCTGCTTTTTATATAAATTGTTCGTTTTATTCAGTCTTCTATCCTCTATCTCAGAGTTTGAGACAGAATATTATATCACATATTCAAAGTTACTTAAGGTGAGCATTTCAATCCCGATCGAAGCATCTGACTCAAGTACTCGTAGCACGAATTCATGTAATTGAAATCTCGTCTGCCCGTGAACACGGTTGCTGAAAAGTAACCGAAACCTCAGAAGTTTGTTGTTTTTCACAAAAAAATATCATGCATAGTATATTCAAAAAATATTAGTTTCATTTAAATGAATAAAACTTGCGAAAGTCTTAGATCTCATTTTAATTGTCTTTATAGTTCTTAATTACTATAAAGAAACTCTATATCTACTGTCACTTTGTATTCATTAAATCATATTTTAAAATATGCCACAATTTTTTCTAATCTTTCATAACATTTTTCAATATCATTATGTAGATCACAAACATAAAATTTAATTATTTTTTAATAACAACAACCAATTTATATGTAATATAATAAAATAAAAGCGATTATATGTAATATAATAAATTACGAGCCTATAATATTTTATTTGTGAAATTTGTTTTGTCTTCAGCAGACAGCAATTAATAACCTTTTTACCTTGGACCTAAAAGCTTTTCCTTTAATAGATATTACACGCCCTCAATATAAATAGATTGTTTTTTTCTTTGTTTTATCTTTGTATAAAGTGTGGAAAAATATTGGTTTATAATTTATGTTCTACTTCTCAAAATCATTCTCGCACACTCGCGCATTTCTTCTCCCCAATTCAAACTATAAATTAAAATAATAAAAGATTTTTAAAATCCAATTAGTACTATTACTTACTTTGCTTGTTACAGCTTTATAACGCTTTTTGTTTTTTTATATTATTCTACATTATAAAGTCATATAAAGATAATATTACCTTAATATTTCATGAAAACCATTTCAGTAGTTTTTGAGCAAAAATTTGTCTGTGATGATATAAAGATTATATAAGACTGTCAACGACAAACATTAAGAGATGTTAGTGGAAGACAATGCTTCTATTGTTTCTTAGAAAACGAGAAGCCAGGGGTTAATTATTTTAAGAAACCCGAAGTTGAGAAGTTATCTAAAGAATAATGATCACCTACTGAGAGTAAAAATACAGGGATTTGTTAAATGTAGTACTCGAGAAATTACTATTTTTCAGAATAGTTTTTAAGGGTTTCAGTTTAATTAAGAATTAAGACATCATAATTCTGTAAAGCTGGTACAAATCGTTCAAATGTCTGAAGTATTTAATATCAAACAAAATGAGGTCGTTCGATATTTTCTGGACCTTTAAGCCATAGCTTACTTTGAAATAACGTTTGATGTTATTTAATATCTCTTTGTTGTGTTTAATGACACAATATTTGTGCCAAATAATTTTTCATGTTTATCATATTTCTAGATTAAAAATAAATAAATATTTTTAACGGGTCCAATGACTTAGCAACAATTAATTTTATATATTTTTTTCAGTCTTGTTTTTTGCTCATCCCTTTTTTGTACCATTAAACAGAAGTTCTTAGAAACCTGTATAAAATTATCAGCAAGAAAATGTTAACAGTTCCAACTAAAGGTGTCACTTTTAAAAATGATATCGTTTTATAAACACATACAAATTAAGACGATTCTCTTTTAAATAGTGTCCCTCAATTCTATCGAGGAATCATTATATTGAGACTTATATATTCAGAGACTTTTAGAATCAACTTGCTAGAAACACACTAGTTTGATTATGTATCATCAATTTTAACAAAATAGTACAGAGTTTTTCTCAGTATCAAATCTTCGTGAGATGATTTTCAGTACCTTTAAAGAAAAACCTTAGCAATTTAACTTTGTAGGTACGGTTATAATATAAACTGAGCACTGAAAGCATTTTCACGTAAGATTTTTTTGCGTATTACGTATAAACCTCGCTTATGTCATCCCCTTTGTTATGTTAACGATCTAATGTAAAAGGGCACTTACTGTAGACGTCATCTTTTACGTTAAATAGACACGTAAAACGTTTTACAGTTACATTAACACTTCTAGAGGTTTAACTTGTAATATTATAAACTTAAAATATAACCACAATTATAAAAATGTCAAATAAATGCAAAATCTGTATAAAGACTTGATTGAATTGCTAAACCTAGTTCCAAAGAAACTAATCCATTAATTTATATGGATAATCGAACGAAATGAAATTAGGTAGTAAAATCTAGGAATATATGAGATAAAAATATATATATAAGTAGGTGGAAATTATATTCTTATAGGTAGTTGGAAATTATATTCTCTTTAAAGTCTATGTAAATCCTATCTAATTATTTTTTCTTTATTCATTATTATTTTAATATGTTTATAATATATATTTACATATTTTCAGACTTGCAAATAATATTGGGACCTTTAACAACTGATATCTGATTCTTAAATTCCATTTGAATTCCATATTCCATTAAAATTTTATTTCCATTCAGTTGTATTCCGTTCCAACTAGTTGTTTAAATTCAAACAACTCATATAATATTCCATTGCAGGTCAGTATGGAGGATGTTAAGAAGGTGTATTCATTGTTCCTCGATGAGCATCGCTCGGAACAATTCTTGAAGGAATATCAGGATGAGTTTATGTTTAATGATGGCTCTGGTGGTAAGTGGTAATAACATACATTTTTAATATCAAATGATTTTTAAAATCAAACTTTTGCCGGCCAATGCCAATGGCGATAACATACATTTTTAAAATCAAATAATTTTTAAAATCAAACGTTTGCCGGCCAATGCCAATGGTAATAACATACATTTTTAAAAACAAATGATTTTTAAAATCAAACTTTTGCCGGCCAATGCCAATGGCGATAACATACATTTTTAAAATCAAATAATTTTTAAAATCAAACGTTTGCCGGCCAATGCCAATGGCGATAACATACATTTTTAAAATCAAATGATTTTTAAAATCAAACGTTTGCCGGCCAATGCCAATGGCGATAACATACATTTTTAAAATCAAACGTTTGCCGGCCAATGCCAATGGCGATAACATACATTTTTAAAATCAAATGATTTTTAAAATCAAACGTTTGCTGGCCAATGCCAATGGCGATAACATACATTTTTAAAATCAAATGATTTTTAAAATCTAACGTTTGCCGGCCAATGCCAATGGCAATAACATACATTTTTAAAATCAAATGATTTTTAAAATCAAACGTTAGCGTTTCTTTTCAAATTTGGTTAGGTAGGGAGAGGAGCTTGGACAGTGGAGGTGAGCGTATAACGCGCGTTAGTTAAGGGGCCCCCTTAAACCTACACTTGGGTCGCAAGTCCCAGGCACTGTTGAAGCTCCTCTCCCAGCAACGCGATGGACCCGGCACCCGCACGGTGAATCCATGGAATGCTGAGAAGTTTCGTCTCATTAGCGAAGTAATAATTTCAAATCCCTTATTTATGTATACTGTGATTGAAGCCGAATTTACCAATTGGGATGTTTATTTGATTGACCAATTTCATTTATTAGCTTTTCATTTTTGATTATTTATATTATTGAAGCATAATATTATCATATCATTACGATTTGTTAATGTTCATATAAAATATTTATAATATAAAACCTTAAATACCATCAATCTGGCACTATGGTAGCCATTATAGGAAGAGAAAGTACGAAATCCTTTAATATTGTGAGGTCATAGTTACGAGCTACGTCATGCTACATTTGTGAAGTATCGGCATCACAAAGACGGCACGCTATGCTTGGCAATAGCATTAGAACCGAATAAATAAATGATAGCCAGAAAATCAATAACTGGATGAACATTAAACAATAATTTTACTCAACTCTTTCGTTATGAATAATGCTATAAAACAATTGTATTATAAACAGTACCCACTGATTATGTAAAAAAAAAGCAATAAAAGCTAATTATTTCACGTTAATTAAAAACAAATGGCATTACTCAAGTCTTTTAAGTCTTTTCCTACTAACATTTATAAATCGGATCGTTTATTATTAAGTAAAGGCGAGTTTCAATCCTCTTTTGAGTTTCACAATTAACTCTGAGATAGTAGCTCGATTCCAATCAGGTAGCAGATACCAGATGCAAACAACTCTCAATCAGTTTGCAAATGAGGATCAAGCTGCGATCCGTGAAATAGCTCTCCAGGGTATCTCCACAAAGACCGGTGATTTTACTCGTTGGACTTCGTTAATTGCCATGAAATATTTACATCTTAATTCTCTTTGATTTATTTATAATTTTCAATGTATTGGTAATAAATTTATAGAAAAAATCTTTGAGTTTTAAGAAATATAATACATTAAGTATATAAAAAAGACATCTCTTATAATACTTTTGAATACTAGCAATTGACTTATACAGTTTTATGTCTTAATATCATTAACAATGAAAAGTCGTATTAAGGGTACAAAGAACATTTCACATAATTCTGTTATAACGAGCTTAATTCTGGAATTGTGCCAGGGAAGATGTTTTGATGTTTCTCTTAACTTACGGTACAGCAGAAGTTAGAATACTGAATGCAATATATATTATAAGAATAATCCACAAATAGATATTAAGGAAAACAAAAAAAAAATAAGAATGAAAATTTTCGTAGTGTATAGTAATAAATAGAGCCTACAGTCTTTAATACGATCATCTCTCAAATCGTAATAAACCCCAAACGTGCTTCGTTTATATTGTCTCTGGCTCGTTTCCCATTTTAGAAGCAATTCTTTTAAGCTTTTGTTGGCTATTCGTAAACCGGAATAACTTTTCCCTAAGCCAGTTTTCGTTTACTCCTAAGGGTATGAAATTTGGGTAAGCATTGTATTACAACGATAACAAACAATGAGGTAAGGGAAATTTATATATATATATATATATATAAATATATATATATATATATATATATACTATACAAATACTCGAAATTTTAGGCACACGAAAAAAATCTTGTTACCTACCCATCTAAGAGTCGGCAAATATATGTGTCTCTGATGTCCTTCACCATATAAAAATAGAACCTCAATCCCATTAAAGGCAAACAAAATATTCATCCGAATCGTCCGTATTTACCACATGAATTACATAATTTGAATAGGTTGACTCATATCTGAAGCCAAACATAGTTTTTATTTAGCAGCATAGCCTTTCATTATTGTAAAACTTTATCGAAGTTTTATAGTCCTTCCTCATATTAAATTCCCATACAATATTAATTCCATCGCCCACATTTTTGCAATATAACAACTCGTTTAACTGATAACAGTTATCAGGTACTTGACTTTCCCCGTAGTGACGACTAAATTTATGACAATAAATTCAATAAAATTTAGAAGTTTATATTGAATAAAAATTAATTGCAAAGTTATTCACACGGAAAAGAATTCATAGCAGAATATGTCCAAAAGGAAGCAAAACTTTGTAATAGAGTTTTTAACTAGGAACTTGTAATAAGAGAACCTTAAGAACATTAATAATCGAATACTTTGTACCAGAACACATATAAAGAAATAAATACTACTATCATTAGAATAATTTTTAATTAAATCTCTTATTACAGAAATTTTCCTTATATTTGAGAGTACATAATTGTTTGTTGAATATTAATATACAATGTAAAATTAGACCGGTTTTTTTTTAGGTTATGTAAAGTTACAGCCTACATACTTTTATAACTTAACATATTTCTTTTCTTCGTTAAGAAGAAAATAATTAACTCAAAAGCGTATTATTATTTTTTGTAACTTTGTTTTCCTTCAATTATAATTTTATACCAAACGTTATTTCCTCTCAATTATTTTTCTGCATCATTTATTAGACTATTATCTCCGAAAATAGTACGTGACCACTTAGTGACTGAAATAATTCTGTGTCTTATCCGGATTTTGAGGGCTCAAGCTATAAGGATAAGATTTAAAAAGAAGTATATTATAATGTATATTATTATGTTACTTATATACATTTTTATACAGCAAACATAAATTTATAACCGAATTATAAACCTTTCCAAAGATTACTTTAAAATATCAAACGCTTAAAGTCAATATTAAACAAATCGTTTGTTACAAAAACATTTCTATTTTACCCAATATGTTGTTTCTCAATGGTTTTGTTTTACATCCCCAACGGAATTACGTCTATTCTTGTGAGAATAGATTTAAGGAAAAAGAACACAAGATCGATGCCTTTATCCTGCAATTTATTTGACTGATGGTTATCTTTTGGTGTGTCCGTTTTCGTATGTTTTAGATTTACATTTTTTTTATTACTTTCTTGAAAAATATATGTTCCTATTTATTTATTTTTTATTATTATTAAGGAAAATAAAAAATATCTTCGATATATTGATAGAACTAAAAACGTGACTACCATATAATGAAATTCAACATAGTTAAACCTAAGTCTTCTTGCCAATAAAAAATTGCATTATTTTATCGGGTATCATATTATTTTTAAGGGTCAAAATAAATCTATGTCTGGTATAACGACGTATCAATAACATGTGTCTTCATGACCATTAACCCAGTATAATCCTAATAACAATTAATCAATGAATTTTCCATTTGATTGCCTGTCGTAAATTAATCCCATTTGTCATACCGTCTTGTTAATCAGATTAACACAAGTCCAATCTCAGTGAACCAAACCCAAACGTTGATGGGCAAAACAAAGAGAAATAAGGATCTAAATCACGTTTGAGATCACCTATTGTGTTACCAATTATGTAAATTGATTACGTCAATTATACCTTCTGTCAGCTACAGTGTTATTACTATATTTTTCTTTATTACGGGTGTGTATAAATGTATGTATATTTTATACGGAATATTGAAAGTGCATATTACATTTATTTCCATTTCGCATGCTATAAAATGTATTTCATATGTTTTAAAAATATATTTTAACACAAAATATTGCGAAAATTTTAAAATTCAATCACAATATTGCAGTTTTTGTCTCAAGGAGTCCTTAAACGTTACAGTAGGGAAAACAGGCAAAGAAATGTACCAAATGTAACAATTGTCTCAACATACCTTCGGATAAGCTACTAACGCTACGTTTTTCTTACCAATTTTCTATGGATGTTTTTGTAAATACTATGTTTTCAAATTTAAGACACTTCTAATATGGTATTTGTGTTTAACTTGAATGAACCTTTATTTTTTAAATACGTACTTGATAAAAAAACATAATGCCTTGAAAAAACTTTCGAGTATTTCATGAAACATTCCTAACATAAATCTAGGCTTCAAGAATGAACGATCGTAAAAGATAGAAATACGACTTAGAGTTTTTTTTTTACTTATCTTTCTAGTTCTTCTTTTTTATGAGTTAAAATTGTGGTCATATTTAAACTTTTATTTATTACAATAGATAACATACAAAACACATAAAATTATCTAAATTTATATTCTCATTTGCAAGCAGATCATTATTCTGGTAGACGTGACTCCGTTCATTATTAAATCTGTTTATCAGATTAATTAATAAAGCTATTAATATTACAGTACGCAATATGCATATGCAATTTTAGTACAAGTTGTAATAGTTAATTATAATACATTATTACGTATATTTTAATGAAAGTAACTGATTGATAATCACAAGATACTTTAAAATTATTTTGTGATTCTCAATCAGTATTCATATGTATTATTATGACATAGATTTTTTTATGTGATTTTTGCTTTTCTTTGATACTTAGATAATAATGAAATTCTACTAAACATTGACGCAATAACTAATAAGAGTCAGTTTTATAAAAAAAAGTATATTTGAAACTAATATCTAATATATAGGTATAGGTTCTGTCATATTTTTTCTAATTTAGACCGTTTTAGAGTAATAAGTGCAACGTGTATACATACTCCAACAGTGAAATTAATATATATATATACTTATAAATGAATTGCTGTTCGATAGTCTCACTAAAACTCAAGAACGCCTGAACGAATTTATCTTATCTTAGTCTTGAAATATTTGTGGAGGTTCAGGAATGGTTTAAAAGCTGAAAAAAATGAATTATTGCCGGGAAAATCCCAAAAACAGTGCTTTTCTATTTCCCATACAAACGTTTTTTTTGACCATAGATTTGACAACTAACTAATATGTTAATCATTCTGTTGCCCTTCAGAGCACGAAGATTTATGGCTTAAAAGTAAACTCCAAAAAAATAAAAAAAAAATATTTATCGATTGAGGCAGTACGAGGTCTGCGGGGTCAGCTAGTAAAATATAAATGTCGTTTATCTGATTTCAATGTGACCCACTCTTCCTGGCAACTGTCAAACAAAGAAAGTTTTACCAACTCAAAAAACTATGTTAAGATTAAATAAAATATATACATATAAGTTTCTTTTTAAAACTACGTCTTTCAAAATTGTGATAAGTGATATGTTTATATAATTAATGTCAGTTTATAATTGATGTCAATTTATCGAAAATAATGAATTTTGCAATTTAATTATTTGAATTGGAATTATTAGCTTATTTCCATCTAAAATTACTGTTTGACATATAATATAAATATTTGAAAGTCTAATAACATTTTCAAATATTAACATAGTAATGAAAATTCCAAGTGAAATTTCAATTGCAATTCTACATATGTTATTCGATAAATGTTTTTTAATAACTTTTGGAACTTAAAATTCAATAGAATTCCATCGTGAAACAAAAAAATACGCTTTCATTACAAAAAACTATTACAAACATTAAAATTAATAAAAACATGTCACTGAAAAAATTTACGCTAAACATTTACGGATCGATAAATTAGAAAAAATACTTAATTTGTGAAACTTTAGAACACAAAAGCATACCAAATAAAATTTTAAGCCTAGAGTCCCTGAAATAAAGAAAAACTTAATAATTCTTCTAAATTTCAGTATTACTTTCTATGTTATTAAAATAAACAAATAAGGGGTTCATCTTCAGTTATAACAAACATCTAAATAAAGCGATTGTCATATAAATATATGTTATGAAATCATAACAAGTCGTGACATGATACATGCCCCTGAATCCCTAGGTTAATTTATTTCATTCATACGTAATTCTGCATTCACATACCAGACGGAATTAGATAACACACCTGCAAATGACAGCACGATTCATACACCAAGAACCAAATAAATTAGTTCCAAAAAATATCATAAAATGGTTCCTTCGTTAATATTACAAAATGAACTGAAGGTCTTATAAAATGTTTTTCTTGAACATTTTATTTCTTTCAATTTC